CACATGCAAAGATATGAGCGAAATACCGCAGTGGCGCCGTGCACGCGCGCACAACTGCAGTCATAATCGACTCGGAAGAGGCGGATGCAGATGGAAGTGACGCAAAGGCTACAGCTGCTGCAGTCTTCACCTTTGGCGCTGCAGTGGCCTTTGTTTGGGCCTTGCCCTTTGGTGCCGGTTCCCCATCGATCACATCGTGAGAAAATGGACACGAGTCACCCCTGTTGCATGTCCCCTGCGGGAAAAAGATACATGGAGCTTTGCTCCTGGGCTTGGAATCCTTTGGACCCCCCTGACCTTTTCCTTCCTTGCCTTTGGCTTTGCCATCCCCTTTACCTTTGCCTTTGGCCTTTCCGTCCCCACCCTTTGGATGTTTGGGAGGTGGTTTGGGGGCTGCTTTGGATGGTGGTGCAGCTGCGGCTTTCGCACTAGGATCCGGCTTTGCCGGGGACGATGCTAAGGCTGCAGTGGGCCCCTTGGTATCCTTTGGATCCTTGGGCTTGGTAGGTGAAGTCAATGACTTCTTCACAGATTCTTGGTTGGCATCTTCTTTCAACTCATCAAGATACTCCCCAAAACGACACCAAAGCCATGCAAAAGTGCGTCTGTGAGAATTCACGGCACTATCCCTTATCTTGTCAATATGTCTTCTCATGCCATGACATCTTTTGAGTCGTTCAAAAAGGAAAATGTACTTGGTTTGTTCTGATGGTTGCATGTTTGGCTGGATGCTATTGAGAATGAACTCAACACGGTCATAAAAGTGACGCAGATCTAATTGCGCAAAGGAGTCCAAAGGAAGCTCAAGAAGGGCTTGCTGTGTCAGCTGTGAACCCCTCATGCGGTCCAAGGCAAAAGCCTTCGCAACTTCATGCAACATTCTGCGACCCTTCAATGGCACAGCCAAGAGCTGAGCTCTCTCCAGATAACCCTGAAACCTCATGCCAATGTTCCCGGTCATGTGTTTGGGTTCACTGAGTTGGCCGGCCAGCCATGCATCCAAACGTGGCAATCCATCTGAGAAATTCTCCAAATGAAAAAGGATCTGTTCATTTGATGGTTCAAATGCAGTTTGCACCCATCTCATGATAACACCTAACTCAGTCCTATCGATGGATGACAGCTTTGCTATCAACGAGTTTCTCCAACCCCTAAAGGCTGAAGCATCCTTTGGAAGACTCGGCACCGACAGGTTGGACAAATCCTTTCCCCTATATACATTATTCTCATCCCCAATGAACGCACCACCGGGCATAAAACCATCATTTGGGTTGCCATTCCCCCCTGGTGGGTCGTCCCCTGGTGGTCCTCCAGCGCCCCCGTTTTGGAGCCCTTGCCTTTGGACAACCAACCGGTCGGCCCATGGCTCATCCTCATCAGGATCATCAGTGTCACCATCATCGTCATCACCATCCCCTCCATCCCCAGGGTCGCCTGTAGCGAACGCCTGGTGCGAACCTGGGCGAAAGACGTTGCCAGTTGGAGATGCAGCTTGTGGCATGCGAGAACTAGCCAATTGGTTGATCTGATCCTGCATGGACTTCATAGATTCCCCAATCTGTTGCCCCAATGCTTTGACGGCATCTGTCATGTGAGCCTGAAGCTCTGCAGACATATTGGAAGCCTCGGATGGCGCCTTTGGCGTTGGGATCCTCGGAGGTCTACAAGATGAGGATGTTGGGCTTTGCTGGATCGGGGTTGCATGGTTTGGGGATGGAACATCATGAACAAAATCCGCGCTATTTCGGCTCTGCAAAAGTTGTTGCAACTGTCCGTGTTGTTGGATCATCATGGCCTCTTGCTGTTGCAGCCTCACCTGAAGCGCCTCAATCACCTGTTGTTGTTGGATGTTTTGCTGTCTCAACTGTTCATTCTCAGAAGCCGCACTTCCAACAACCCGATTGACTTCAGAATGAGCTGCCTCTACCACCCTGTTGACCTCTAGGTTAGCTTGAATAGCTATGTTCTGAGCGGCCTGTTCCGCCCCGATCACAGCCCTTTGTGCCTCTGCCTGCACCTGCAATGCAGCCACCCGAGCTTCATGTGCTTCTCGTCGGGCAAGCTCATCCTCAATGTGGACATGTTGATGCTGGTGAATGGCCCTCTGGTCAACATAGTGTTGGGTAAGGTGCTCATGTTGATGTTGCTCAACAATCGGGTGGGTTCTTTGTTCTACCATCTCTTCATCTTGAGACATACCAGGAGGAAAACCAGCACAAGCACTTGGGAAAGCCTTCTCCTCAGATGCATCCCTTGAATATGGAGAACTAGCAATGGCTCTTTGTTGGCTTTTTCTCCTCGATCTATTCCTAGCCCCTGTCTCAGTTGAACTCTGACTAGATTCTCTAGAGGCTTGTTTGGACGATCGTTCTACCACTGTGGACATGGCCCTACTCTCCGGCACTTGTCTGTCAGTCTGAGAGCTTGTAGTAAGAGACAATGATCCCGATGAATCTGGTGGCGAAAAACCAGTTGACATGGATTGTAGTTTCCGCCCCAAAAACGGAGCCCGTAGCGCTCCCGTTTTGGAGCCCCTTTTTTTTGTGTATGATCCCGGTCGCTGGATGCGATCACGGGAATTGTGAAGGTTCTATCAACTGAAAGTGGAACTGGGTATACCAAATCCCGAGCAGGAGAACACAACACAAACAACAATGTAGAATAACTGGATAACTACTGAGGTTCAGTCAACTCACCCAGTGAGGAGAACACAAAGTACAGGAAAATGCCCCAAATTGGTGGTGGAGCAAATTGCACTGAATCAATTGGTGTGGTGGCCCTGTCTTCCTGATCCCTTGACTCCTGTCCCCACGCGCTCTAAGGGTTTGCTCGCTCAAGGCGCACAAGGTCGAGGATTCCGTAAAAATGATCGGTGATCTCGCCGTGCAAGGAGATGATCCTCTGATGTTCTTCCAAGACACGGCCCCGAGCGATCTCCGAATTCGAGCAAACGTGTTCCACTAGTGCCCGTTGATCGTCCACGAAAAACACGGACTGAAGATCGTCCCTTCGGATCTGCCAATCAAGATATGCTCTCTTGCCGTCCCAACGTCCAAACTTTGATGGAGTGATAATGCTGGAGGTCTTGACAGATACGGCGTATGTTGGCAATCTTCCTTGGATCCTTGCAGAAGCTAAGACAATAGACCCGCAACTGCGGAAGATCTTGATGCACGCTATGCAACAAGACCCGCGTCTCCCTCAAGTCCTTGTCAATAACACCGTGGAAATCCAGGAACAGGCCAAGCCGAACGTCAGAAACGTCAATGTTCTCCTCCAACACTGACTGCTCAGGCAATTCGTCCGAAACGTCAATGTTCTCCTCCAACACTGACTGCTCAGGCGATTCGTCCTCAATGAGCACAGAAGCCGCAGCTGAAGGCCTTGACGGTTGCGAGGTCTCACTCGGAGGATCCCTCACGTCGCGAAGAGGCTGCCTCACTGGTGATCTTGAGCGTTCGGGAGTTTCAGGCCACGGTGTCCTTGACCAAGACGGAAACTCCTCTTCAGATGATGACTTGATCTGATCGGTCTCTGCTGGACCGTTAATGATCTCAGTCACGAGTTCGTTGCTCAGACCAGCGGCTAGTCCCAAGGCACGAGAACTGGATATGCGATATATATCCTTCTTAAGGCCCTGTGCAAACACAAAGAGCTGTTGAAGCCTGTGAAAAATATGAGCCTCCCGGTGGGACAAGTCTTGCCTGACTTTGAGGCTATCACTTGCTGCAGCGAACGGGTACAGAAGCTCCCGCCGATAGTCACGGAGCCCGTGGCGACCTCCCCGTCGCATGCAGCTCCGGCACAAGCTGACTACTCAAATGTGCACCGGAGTTGGTCACCCGAAGAAGCACTGGATCAATTGGAATGACAAGGTTTGGGCCAAATACGAGAATCACAAATGGGATCCGATTCTTCTATTCGTGGGTCGCTGGGTGCGAACTCCACTCAAACTCAATATGGAGAATGTTGGTTGTTGGTCAAGCAAGTAGGTTGCTAGCCAAGAGCACTACAAGTATGACAGTCTAATCCCAAAGGCTATGAGCGAGGTGTCCCAAGCTGCTAACACCCTTTGGCTATTGCTTCAATGACAACGGTCGCCTGACGCGAGCTCGCTGTTTCAACACCAAGGGTCTGTGGCCAAGGTGAAGCGGGACTTCGAGTGGGATCCAACCTGTGCAATCCGATAGAGCGGTTGGAAAATCACTCAAAGGTGTATATAACAATGTAGCAGGTCGCCAGTCGCGATCGCTGCCCCTTTGTTATAGATAACAGAAAAGAGAAATGGTGGTTCCAACACAAGAATGGGTGGCTCAAGCCCAAGTCAAATGATGGTAACCAGAAATATGTAAGGACCACGGCCGTACCCGCTCGGGCGAGCAGGTACGGCTGATAACCAGTTATTTAAGCGTAAAACTCCTAGGCGGCACACAAGCAAGCAACTGCTAGGGCGCCGCGCTGTTTTACTTGAGCCAAAAGTAACATATTGAACTATGTGAAACCACGGGTCAAGCAGTGGGTAAAAGCATGACCTTTAAGTTTCCTAGTCCTGCTACGCCTGAGAAATGTTATGTACCAGAAGTGTATGTCCCATTCAACTATTATTTACAGTAAGTATATCCTATTATACGAAAACTAACAATTAAACTACATTTGGCTTGTATTATATTATATATATTATAGTGATATAGTGTATCGTATTATATATTATATTATATTTTATTATATTACTTTATATGATAATATATTATACTATACTATACTATATCATATCATAGTTTATTCTCATATATATATATATCACATTATATATGTATATACTATACCGACTATACCCAAAACAAACATAAACAAACTATACATACATACATACATACATTGCATTACATTACAATACATTACATAACATAACATAACATACCATACATATATATATAATCTATAAATAGTGACCATCCATCCTTTTCTTTTTCCATCACCCGAAACGCACCCGACCTCACCTCGCTGGCGCTGGCGGACGGCGAGTATTCCGGCATCTCTTGGACCAAGGCTGCCAGGTCCCAGATGCTCTGGCGAACGGATGACCGCGTTCAGATGGCGCATGGGGCTGGGACCCATGAAATATCTATAGATAAAGATCAGACATAATATGTAATAGATGTTACAACTATAATTATATAATTATATATCATTCATGATTATATATAATTCATAATTCACACTCGAGATAGAAATAGAACATAAAAGAACTATATCAAATTATATCAAAATGCATCAGACTTTCAAGACATACTGGTATCACAGAATTTGGGGACGGATGAAAAGCTGGCAAAACCAAGCTGCATGGTTTTCCGGCAAAACAGAGCCACCTGCTGGATCAAGATGAAGAAGCCTCGGCAGGACGCGCCGGTGCCAGGAGATTCCAAGTCACAGCATATTACTCCACCCTGTTCCAGTCCGTGGTGTCGCTAAGCCGCACAGTGATTTCCAAGCGGATTCAGCAGTGGATTCTTACACATGGAAGCAACGATGAAGTGACCCGAAAGTGCTTCGAGCACTGATGAGGCTCAAAGTATCAACATTTCAGGCTGCAACATGCTCCAAGATGTCAACTAATTATTGGAGGTTCAACACAGAAAAACAAATCAGGCGCCCGGCCCTGCCCAACAAAAGGTACCAGGTCTCTGACCAACAATGAAGATGCTGAACACGATCACAATCTGGCCGGCCACTAATGTGTCAACCCGAGGAACACATAATTACAGTGAACGAGAAAGGAAACAATTGGATTCTAGCAACCACCAAAAAGTTTGAACATCATTTCCAGAAAAATAGACCTATGTATGTGTATATATATATATTGTATATGTATATATATAATATGATATGATTTGTTTGTCTAAAACAAAGCCATTGTGGGTTCCAACTTGGTCTATTTTCCGCAAAACCAAGCCATTGCCGGGAGACCCAATCAGAGACGAATCGCACATCCACAGCCTTGGTTGATATCCGCTGATATCGATTGATGAACTCCTTTAACCATGGCTGGTGAATCCAAATGCGATTCGGTTCACTAAACCAAATCTATTGGTTCATGTCATGCCAGTTTTGTTTGATCTGGAATGGTGAACTCTCAATTCATAATTCATGGCTATTAAACTACCAATATCTCTAGCAGGATGTCTCTGAGCTTCTAGCAAAAAGTTGCTTCTTTCTCGTCGAGAGGTAGGTGCTCATGGTCTGCGTAGGCGACCAAATAAGTTTTTGTTCCAGAATGCTCGAAAAAAACATGTTTTCAAGAATGGGAGAGTTACCCTCAAGTGAATTATGGATAATTATGGACAATTTGATAGGGAACATGATTCGCAAACTATACGATTTGGGAAATTATTCATTTTAAGACAAAACCTTATCCACCCTGAAGGCCTTGAGGAAATGTCAGAAAGGACATTAACGTGTGATTTTCAAACGCAGAATCGTGCTGGTAGCAGACTTCTCTGGTTTCTGGTTCAGTTTTGATAGCGGGTCTCAGCCACTTTTCAGACCCAAACAAAGAAACGTTCGACTTTTTTGAGCGCTGCGTCAAGCAATGTACCACCCGGGCGGTGGTGACTAACACCGTTGCTGATGTTGTTGGGTGCCAGTTTGGATTCCCGCAGCAATTGAGAAACCACCCCAAAAAAATGGTACCAACAATAATCCCAGAATTGGTTGAACTTTAAGAATTTACAGGAGTCGCAGCAAAGTCACAAAAACGCTATGCCGCGTTTAGCCCACAGGGGCCATGGGATGCGAAATATTTGGATCGGAACTTGCACCCCCATTTTCGACCTAGCAGACTAACGCCAAGCCGCATCCACCAGGCATGTTGTTCCCAGCTTGGCTTCTGGGGATTCCCAAGCCCTAAGCACAAAAAAACCTTAAATACCCAATGAAAAACATATGTCATACAAAACTAAAACCCATAATACCCTATAGTACCATACTGCTATTATACTGGTTGGATCTGTTTAGCCCTATTTAGTTTGGATACAAAACCTATGTAGAATAATATGTAATACCAAATGAACCAAACTAAACAGATCCAAATCAGTATAACCACATACAAAACCAACCAACAGCCTCAGCCTATGACAGGATATGACAGGATTCAACTGACAACTGCTTCGTTGACTAAGGACAGCACTCCCTTAACTCCCAACAGATAATAGGAGAACAAAATCATACTACAATATATAGTGACATGTGATTGAGTTCAGGATCACTAGATAAGCAACAAGTAATATGTATATATATATACTGTACTATATTTTCAATTTCGCCAATATCCCCAACATGGAAGTCTGGGAACAATAAAAAACTCTTAACAATGGCATGGTAACCAACAATCACAAGCAAATTGAAGCGTTGATTAAATTGATTCACAATGTGTTTGATTGTGTGCTTATATCATCTTATATCTTCGAAAACTTATCGCAACTAATGATACTAATTATAGTGTTTTACAATCTTAGACAAGCAACATATCTTAGACAATGAAAATCTATCACAACTATATATATATATATATTTATCTTAGACAATTAATGAAATAAAACACAACATGCCCGGTGGCTGTTCATGTCGCGGTTCTGTGGGGCTCAACCGCGACAAACACCGCTGCAGCACTGGGCCAAGGACGTGGCCACCTGGTGGTTTTTGGGTAGTTTGGGGAGAGACATGGCTATAGCAGTGGTGGAAAATCATTAATTATGCTTAACACATGTTAAGTATTACATATATAAGTAACAATTCCACAAGTTGAGATATGGTTTGGTCTGAACATGGTGCAACAAAAACCTGAAACCAGCTAGTTTAGCAGCACTTTCCCGATGAAAAAATGAAAGTTTGGAGGTAGAACCCGATTTCTAGACTTACAATTAGAATCGCACCTCGAAGTCGAAAAACCTGCCACCCTGTTCCAGTTTTTCACATGCCAAAGTTGACGAAGTTGACTGAGAGTAAATTGGCAAATGCCCAAAATCCTCGGAAATACCTCCGAGTCATCAAATATGAACATGGAAAATCTACCATTTACAGATAATTTTCCCAGCTATAAACCTCCATTTATTAGAAGATTATTAGAAGAATGATTGATGTGTACCCATCATTACCCATCCACCCCCGCGATTCTGTTTGTTTTTGGGGTTCGTTAAACCCATCAGAAAATCCCACAAGCCATGGTTGATCTTAATGAGGATTCCTAGCTGTCCCAGCTCATGGATGACAATCCAAAATATCTTGTGCAGGGGGTCCAACACTCAAAGAAACCATGAAGAAACAACAACATTGGTCAATGATATCCATAACAATGGAAACAACACCTTCTGGAAAATGATAGTTGAGTCATGTTGAGTCATGTTGAGTCATGTCAGATCCGCATGAAATATTGCAGCAACCAATTACTGGGATTTATCCCCCAACTCATGGCAGGCTTGGTGTTGATTTACTGTAGGGTTTTTGTTACGTTATTACGGTATATTATAATAAAGATCGTGTATTGATATATATATATATATACTAGCATACCCTATAGGATCCATGTATGCTACATATGGTAACATGGATCCCATCAATATACCCCAGTCATGTTAGCATATATACCAGCACCATGGATCCGTCATGGGTACTACTATCCAAGATCATCATATATCGCCTATATTATTGTCGATGATGAATCCTTTCTAGAAACCGCAATGATGGCTAATGCGACCATGCACCACTCAGGCCACATCAATAAATTAGTATATAACAGCAGTGAACAAACAACGACAAACTAACACTAGTACAACAGTAAGAGAGCCTTAATAACAACAAGTAACTAGTAAGATTATGATAGATTATGTAAGATTAATAACAATGACAAACAAACAAATTCCTGATCTGTTTTTTTTATCTTAACATCCCCATGAAATAGAAGATACTCACTTGGCACAACTCCTAACCATATGTCCATCGTGCCTGTGCGAGACTGGTACAACTAAGGCATGACTTAGACTCTGCCTCAGGGCTGGCTGGACAAACCCTTTGCGGATGCAATTCACCATGCACTTCGTATGGCCGTAGTTTTGGGAAATATATGGGTGATGTTCAGAACTCATTTGCTCTAAATATGTGGAATTCTATGGGTCTATGGATGCATATTCTATGTTCACGTCTTTCAACGTTGTAGATAACTTTGCAGTTATATTCAGAGACAAATCATTTGTTCAAAGACAATATGGATTACATAAGGGTATAATAGTATATTTATAATATAAATCTACCAATAAAAAAAACATGGAGCCTGTGGGAATTGGTAGATTGGTAGACTCTTAAGGTCTCCAGTCCGTGTGGATCTCATGGCCTCCTACACCAAAAAGTGGGATCGGCGAAAACGGCCCGCAGTGTGAGAAATAGCTTGTGGGATGTTCCAAGTCTTCATTATTTCATCCCACATTAACCATTATCAGTATATAATTTATATAATATAATATATAATAATCCTAATAATCCATCATTAGCCACTATTAACCACCACCATTAATGGAATTAGGATCTTGCTCCCCCAAAAAAAAAACACAGCCCCAGAAACCATGGTGGGGACCTGGGATTTCGGGACCATAGGATGGGATGAAAATGATGATACGCTGGATGGGCCAGCGAAATCCGATCAAGCGCCAATTTGGGATGGTTGAAACCCCAACAAAATCATGGGATAAACCATGGTTGAAACATGTTGAAACCCTATACCATCTGGTTATTTAACATAGCCCTGGAAAATCACTTAAAAATGGAGGTTTTAATGGGAAAATCATCCATAAGTGGGCCATTTTCCATGACTATGTTAAATAACCAGAGGGTAAATAATGGGATGTTTACCACCGTTTTCAACTGGTGATTCGGATTTTGCTGGCCCATCCACAGTGCGAGCAGTATGTTGTCTTGATTCTTCTTTGAAATGCTGTCGTTTAACGATGGGTGCCACTGCCAGTGATGCTTTCGGGATAGAGCCGTCTGGTGGGAATAGTACCATATATCTGTACTCTTCGCTGGTTGTTATCACCCACTATTGATTGGATCAAATCAGCCACAGCCTCTGGGAATCAAAGATGCAAATGCCAGCATCTATAGATATCGTTCCTGTTGAAACTGGAAATGCTCATGGGATTTTCATAATCAGCAAATAGTAATCATGACGCTCTTGCCTGCACCCACACTCTGGATTGGTTTCATAATTTCTGTTGCAATCCCCTTTTTTCTGCTGATCTCCCGTCTGCCGCCCTTCCCCACTTGTGATCCCCATCAACACAATATCAATCCAAATCGATTCGCGGATAAGCAGCACCATTTAAGCCAACCATCTCTTTTGCTCACCAAACAAATGGCTTTGTCTGAAAATAGAGGATATCCCTGAAAAATTCCCGATTCCAATGGATCGCCACCATTTTAAAATAGTAAAATGGTGCTCCCCAGCTCGGCATCCTCACATTTCCAGAGCCCAACTCCATTAGCCGAGAGAGTCCCTGCAGCCATGGCTTCATGGCGATTCATTGCAACTGGGGCATGGTTTCATCTACCCCGGTATTACCATGTTTTTTTGACAAACGATATAATGATATAATGTGGGAAGCCAATAACAAACCTACCTTGATTTAGGGATGCTTTATAGCACAGCACCCATAAGAATGGTGATTATAGAAATTGGGTTCCCACATTGTATCATTATTGGGTACCCATTGATAACCATAAGATGGTTTATGAAATTAGGGGGACATGGCTATCAATGCTAGAGCTATCAGCCAGATTTTCCCATGATTGGTTTATCGAATCCGAAAAAAAAATGGCCAACTGATTTCGAGTATCCCCCTTGTCTAAACACATATGTATATAATTAATTATATATATATATACACACAAACATAAATACATGTACATACATGTACAATATATAGGTAATATAGATATAGAACTAGATATAGGTATGGGTCAAAACCCTCGTAGCCTGGTGAACATGGAAATGGCTGGTATAGCTGAATACTCATCCGCCTGAAAATGGTAGAAGATGGTAGAAGCTTCTACACCATCCAATATCATCATTGACCAGTTGTTGTCAAGTTAAACAGAAACATGAACCACGTTAATTACAGTATTTGAAAACACATCTGGCTGAATGAGAATAAAGTTCAACTCATCAACCTAACAATTAGGACACATCCACACA